AGCATTTATCACATTCCCGGCGTTCTGTGAGGCATGGGGATAGCATGTAAAACAATAGGAAGAAGAATATTTAAGCTAAAGAATGAACACCGGCCCGGGGGTCTGAAAACTTGAATTCTAGTCCTATTCTTTGTGCTACTTCATTGTTGGATCTTAGACAGCATTCCTGGCCCTTAGTTGGTTAAAAGGAATGTCTGGTTCAAAGACTTCTGACGTCTCTCAACTCTGCAAGTATACTTACTTATTATCTCAGATGGAAGTGTGCGGATGCATCTGGAACCACATCTGACGTGTGGGAGGCTCACACTGTGGTCGGAACAGTAGGTCGGTGTGGTCAGAAGAGGACATGAGAGTACAGGAATAAGCTTCTGTGAGGATGTGAATCCTAAGTGTGGAAGAATGCCCTGAAGAGCCGGTTCCACAATATGCTTAAGCTTGTGACTTGGGTGAAGGACAACAACAATAAGGTTTTTAAAATGATTAGCAGAGCAAGAGTAGGAGAGGGTAAGCCTGACACAGAGACGTGATGGTGTGGGTTTAACATATGATATGCAAAGCAGAGATCTCCTCAGTCAAGGAGAAAGAGCTTTTGGCTAAGGGGGTAGAATAAGCATGGTCCAGAGGGAAGATGAGCCCCAGGTAGGCGAGTAGATAAGAACGGGGTGCGTGAGTGAGTGCAGGAGTCTACATCTCCAGGGAGAAAGGTAGCAACTGAGACTGAATCCCTACTGATGACTTCTGAGATCTACGATGAATGGGTAAGATGGTGAAGGCCCAGAGACAGCCCAGCAGGAAGCTGGTCTGCCCAGTGAGGAGGAAGGTGCATGTGTAAATCATAAGCTGGTCATCTTGTTAGCTGTGGCAGGCAACGTTGTGGCTGACTTACAAGCCCTGGGAATGGAAACTAGGCTGATGAATATGTAGCTAAAAGTTAACCCAAACTAAATTTTTTTTTTTTTTGGTTGTTAACAGATGATTATATTCATACCTGTTTTTTATTTTGACTTCTGACAAAATCATGGTACCTTTTTGGAGAATATGGAAAGTGAGCGTGGCTGACCCTCTAGTTAGGTTTATTTATAACTAGTCAAATGGCCTCCTCAAAAAGGTAGCTGCTGATCATTATATTCTTGAGGCCAGAAAACCTATTTGAGTCTTCTGCTATAACTGAAATACCAGATGTTGGTGTTTACCAATTATATGAGAGAATATCTACACAAACTAACAGCCTCTTAGGAGAAGGTCTCTACTAGAATACCACAGGGCTTCCTTCAAGTTCCAAAAGTTTAGGTAAAGCTTTGGATCCAGAGAGATTGGGAAACACAAACTCTGTGCCCAAGTTAACAGAATGAAATTCAGTTAGTAAAATTCTTCACTTGGATCTTTAAGGAAATAAGTCCCAGCCCTGCCCTGGTATGGCAGAGAGCACACACAGTCATAAAAGTGTAGGATGGAGGGGATGTGGCTTTGCAGCATAAATTAAAAAAAAAAAAAAAAAAGATTTAAGCCACTTTTGCATAGACTGAACACCGCAAACCAAGTGGACATTGCGGTTTGGGGGTGCAGAGGCCTGTGCATGTACTCTCTCCACGTTTACAGTGCCACGGGCTTATTGCAAAACTGCCATTAGCATCTTTATGTTGTTCCCAGGGTCAGTCCCTCATTACTGCTTTGCTCTATAAGTTGAGATTAATTTCCCGAAGATTATAATAAGACACCAGTATTTGTGTCTTACTCCAGCCCCGGCGCACGTGAATGGAATATTCAGGCACTTGGGAGTGACCCTTGCTACCTTCCAAGACCTGGCCTTCCCTTTCCTCTCGAGCCTTACCTGGTTTCCTCCCTCAGTGCTGAGTCGGGTGCTAGAGGCAGACCCGGGCTCTGTGCTCCAGCCTTGCTTTCTCTTGACCTTACCTGAAATAACTATTCCCTCGACTTTTCACTGTGATGCAAGTTAGAAAGCTTTCAGCTGCGGGAAGCTGCTGTAAAGCTCTGCCATAATAGAAACTTTCATTCTAGGGGTATTAATTCTGTTTTAGGGGGATAAACCAGCTCCTACACTGGGGTTCAAGTTCTTTGAAGCAGTGACTGTGTTTAAGCACCTTTGCTTTCCCCTCTGGGTTCCTCGGGGCCCAGTCCTAACAGTAGCTTACCAAAGAAGGGTATTGGCACCTACCCTGAGCTTGCTGACCCTCGGGAGTCATGGTTCCCCTGCCTGGGCCTGGCCAGGGCAGCCTGGTTGAAGAAGCCATGGCATCCTTTCATTTCCCCCTACCCTCTTCTTGATTCCTAAACTCTGCCCAGACTCTTTTCTCCTTCCATTTGCTGTAAGTGTTTGCACTTAGACTGCCCTTGCTTTTCCTTCCTGTCTAGTCTAACCTGCTTGCTTACTCACAAAGCCCACTCGCTGTCGTTCTTCTCTGCCTTCTTATCCTTAGCCATCTTTCTCAGATACAGTTCTCTCTCCCAGCCCCCTCTCCTCTGCCAGCCTCAGGAATGGGGAATGGTAATGCTAGCAGAAATGTTTTAACAAACGGAGGTGGACGTGGACTCTGTACGGAAGGGTAGTTCACGGTGGTGTCTTTCAAAGCAGATGAAAGCCTTTGCCTTGTTTTCGTTCTGTTCAGAAGGATCGCAGACTAAATCCTCCCCCTGCCACAGGGAAGTAACTGAGTTAGATGGCTTCTATCTAATCAAATTATTTTATTCAAACATTTGAAACTGTTTTGAGGTCAAGAAAACATAGGTTGACACTAAGCTCCATGGTTGCCAAGGTTGGGGAGAAATTCTGAACTGCAGTATGTCTGCTTTGATAAATTTCATAGACTTATGCTATGGGTTAGAGTATAGCTTGTTCTTTCAGCATTAAACTATTTTTATCCTAGTTATAATTCCAATGAAGGCTGGATTTACTCACCAGCTTGTTCAGCTAGCTTAAAGTGTAGATACCATCCACAACCCTGGTTATTTAAACACAATTCAGAAATCATAAATAGCAATTCAAAAGGAGAGCTCAGTTTCACAAGATGAGATTTGATGCCACGAAGAAACCCTCTCAAATATTTGCCAGAGACCTTGTGAGTCCTAAAATATCCTCTGTTTCGTACCAGCCAGATCTGGCAGCTTGAGAACTATTCTTACAATAATGACAAATATTTTACCAACTCACAACGTGTTGCTTTTTGTCTTGGTATTAATTTTGTTGGTTCATATTTTTAACTGGGCAAGTTAGTATAGGAATGTGATGGCCATCCAACAGATAATCAGGAAAAGAATTATTCTCTTACTGAACATTTTAGCATATGTTTCTTGAACACTGGCTATGTGCAAGTTATTATATTGAATGCTTTTGGTAATGAAAATATGAATTGAACTTGATGTTGGACCACAAGAATTGAAAGAACTGAGACATTATAATGCAGCAAGTGCCATAGAATGCTTGCGAAAATGCACTGAGAAATGAGGGCTCGGGTGGGATTTGCTGAGTGAGACAAAGAAGGCTTTCTAAAGGCAGTGGGATATGAGCTTTGATGAATAGCCAGTTGTTAATATGTGCAATGCGGTGTGGAGGGTAAGGGGGATCTAGATGAATGGAACATTATTAACAAAGTCTCAGAAATAGTACAGTATAAAATACAGGGAACATTGTTAGGTTTTAGTTTTATGTAAATGAAAGGGAGCAGTTACTGATAAAGCTAAATCCCCTGGGTCTGAAATCCCAGCTTTAACTCTGCTAGGTAATGGGGAATGTTTTATCCATTATTCCACTCTTTAAGCAATTTCAGAGCTGTGTTTGAGGATAATTAATCAGATAATTAATCTGTCCTCAGCGTAAAAGCTTGACTGGAGGAAGAGAAATTGGAGTTTGGAAGGCCAGCTGGGAGGTTATTATAACAGTCTAGTAAGAGGTACCACGAGCTGCCCTGGGCTGGGAGGGGTAGGATTGGAATGGAGGGTCGAATTGAGAGACATCAGGTGGTGAACATTTCTAGGATTTAGAACCTGATGAGAGGAAGAAGAAAGAGAGGAGTTAAAGATAATTATGAAGAGTCAAACCTAAGAAGTGACATCATTAAGGAAGTCAGACAAGTCAAGCCGGACTAGGGGAAAGTGGGTTCAGCTTTTCTAGTGGTGCATGAATGTACCTGTGCTCCCCAGTGGGGAGGCGGAGATGTGAAATGGGAACTCGGGCTACAGTCTGAAAGACAGGCTTGGGATTCATTAGCACGGAGGTAATGGCGGCAGGTGTAGGAGTGGATGTGAACTCCAAGGGAGGGTGTAAAGAGAACATGGCCAAAGATAGGCCTCTCTCAGGGGAAGATGGTCTGCATGTAGGTGAGGGAAGATGAGCCAAAATTGAAGTAGTCGGTGAGGTCAGGGAAGAGCCAGACTTAGGATCATAAAAGACTGCAGAAGAGAGATTTTCAAGGAAGGAGGGGTCAGCACTGTTCATGGACACAGAGAAATAGGGAGGTTGAGAATGGAGCAGGAGAAATGAAATGTGGGAGTTAAGAGTTCACTGGTGACTTTCACAAGAGTGGGTTTTAAACCGTGAGTTGCTGGAATGTATTTTCTTCGTAAGTCTAGGGTTTGATGGTTTGGGGCCTATTATCCCATTTCTTTAAAATAACACAGATAATTTAAGACGGCGCGCATGTGTGTGCGTGTGCGCGTGTGTGTGTGAGAGAGAGCCTTGTGACCAGGGACTGTTTTATGTAAGTGAAAAATTATTTAAGTAAAATATACCTTGAGTTCACATTTCATTAATACTAGAGATATCAATTCAGCCAATAAAGGAAATCTCCAGGATTTTTTACATTATTCAGTAAATAAAACTTCTACTTCAGCTATGTCAATTAAAAAGATATTCCCCTGCCCCTTTTCAGTATATGAAACAGCAACAGCAAAAACATATAAACAATTGTTGAACTGGTGAATGTGTCCTGGAACATATTGGATTATCATCTCTTTTCCTTCTTTTCAGAGCAAAAGACTGAGCTATGATAGCAACCGGTGGAGTGATAACTGGCCTGGCCGCCTTGAAAAGGCAAGACTCTGCCAGGTCGCAGCATCATGTCAGCCTCAGCCCATCGCCTACTGCCCAAGAGAAGAAACCCGTCAGGCGGCGGCCTCAGGCCGATGTTGTGGTGGTTCGAGGCAAAATCCGGCTTTATTCCCCATCTGGTTTTTTCCTCATTTTAGGAGTGCTTATCTCCATTGTAGGAATTGCAATGGCAGTCCTTGGATATTGGCCCCAAAAAGAACATTTTATTGATGCTGAGACGACACTGTCAACCAACGAGACTCAGGTCATTCGGAACCAAGGTGGTGTGGTGGTCCGTTTCTTTGAGCAACATCTGCATTCTGATAAAATGAAAATGCTTGGCCCTTTCACCATGGGGATTGGCATTTTCATTTTCATTTGTGCTAATGCCATTCTTCATGAGAACCGTGACAAAGAAACCAAGATCATACACATGAGGGATATCTATTCCACAGTCATCGACATCCACACACTGAGGATCAAGGAGCAAAAGCATATGAATGGCATCTATACTGGTTTGATGGGAGACACAGAAGTAAAGCAGAATGGGAGCTCCTGTGCCTCGAGACTGGCAGCAAATACCATTGCCTCTTTCTCGAGTTTTAGGAGCAGTTTTCGGATGGACAGCTCTGTCGAGGAGGATGAGCTTGCGCTAAACGAAAATAAGAGTTTGGTGCATCTCATGCCACCTTTGCTTTCGGACAGCTCCGTCTCTGTCTTTGGCCTCTATCCACCTCCTTCCAAGGCGACAGATGGTAAGACCAGTGGCCCTAAGAAATGTGAAACCAAATCAATTGTGTCATCGTCCATCAGTGCTTTTACATTGCCTGTGATCAAACTTAATAACTGTGTTATTGATGAGCCCAGTATAGATAACATCACTGAAGACGCTGAGAACCTCAAAAGTAGGTCAAGGAATTTGTCAATGGATTCCCTCATGGTCCCTTTGCCCAATGCCGGTGAGTCCTTCCAGCCAGTCAGCATGGTGTTCCCAAGGAATAATTCCATTGGGGAGTCATTGTCGAGCCAGTACAAGTCCTCTGTGGCCCTCGGACCCGGGGCTGGACAGCTCTTGTCTCCTGGGGCTGCTAGAAGACAGTTTGGATCCAACACATCTTTACATTTGCTCTCGTCACATTCAAAATCCTTAGACTTAGACCGGGGTCCCTCTACCCTAACTGTTCAGGCCGAACAACGGAAACACCCAAGTTGGCCTCGGTTGGATCGAAGCAACAGCAAAGGATACGTGAAGCTAGAAAATAAAGAGGACCCCATGGAGAGGCTGCTTGTGCCCCAAGCTGCGATCAGAAAAGACTTTACCAATAAGGAGAAGCTTCTCATGATTTCAAGATCTCACAACAATTTGAGTTTTGAACATGATGAGTTTTTGAGTAACAACCTAAAGCGGGGAACTTCTGAAACGAGGTTTTAATGTTCAAAAATGTATCATTTTCAAAGGCTGTATGTTTTAAAACTATTTTCACCAGTGTTTCCATGTTAAAGTATGGGCTATGAGCCTTTTTAATCAAATAGTCTGTAGTGGGTTAGACCTGGTTGCTTACTTCCGTGGTGGAGATGGCTGTATGTTTGGGTTACTTATGCTTGCAGGACTTTCTATGATCACACATGATTTTATACTCTCCCTTCCTTTGAAAGCAGTATCTCTTCTATCAGTATGAACAGAGAACACTTCCATCTCTACTAAAACTCCCTTTCTTTACTTTCAAGTTCTTTCACCGATGGTCATCTGCATAGAATCAAGTGTCCAGTTAGGAAAAGGTAGGGTACCAAAGTGTGGACTCGAAGTACCAAATTTAGGCCCAAGACTCAATATAAACTTATAAATGAGCATGAGGACAAATCTAAGGTGTGATTTTCTGAACAACTGCTTTTTTTTTTTTTTTACAAAATTGGTTAAATTATTTAAAAGGAGAAAGATCTAGTTTCTGGGTGTGCTAAGTAATGTGAATTGGTGAAACTGGTTTAGTTCTATGTGAGCTAACTGATAGGAATTATTTAAGTTGGTTGTGACTAGTACCCTGAGCTCTGGGTAGGTATATCTTTTTTTATTATTAGTTCTATTTTAGTGATATTTTATCAAGAAACCATGTATTCAAGAGCCATGGCTGAGAATGCCAGTTATTCATAGGGGTAAATATCAAAATGCTATTAGCTATAACTTTAGATATTCAGAATCAAAATTTCTTTGCAACTAACTTGAAAAAGGAATGAGCCAATTTAGTTTGTAGGAATGCTATCTTGAAATAATTATATACATGAAGAAGATGTTGATTAGTCACAAAAATGCACTATGGGTTAGTTAACGCTAACTAATCTCAGTATCTTTCCTAGCCATCTCTTTTATCGTCCAGCATCCATTCATTCCCACATCCTTCTTTTCCCTCAAGACTTTTTAAATCCTGTTCTTTGGAAAATAATCAGCTAACCTTAACATTTCTTTTTATCTTTGTTTATCACTAGCTTGGTGACTCAAGAAAATTGACAAATTGGACTCAAGTCCTTGACAAATTGCCTTGAAATTTACCTTGTGCTGGAAAGCCTTTTGAAGACCCCAAAGACTTTCTTATGGTGTAATACATTTTTGGGATTGTGGCTCTCAATTATTGAAGATAACAAATGTGAAAATGAGTGTTTCCATCAGAAAATGTTCATGGTTTCCATTAAGGTAACATTTAATTGTAAGAAATGTTTGATGGAATACTCAGGAAATTTTACAGGTTCTTCCCGGTGCCGAAATGTTTCTGAGCATCAGTATTATTGCAGCTATTGTGGAAAAGGAGAAGGAGGTATGTTTCTGTTCGTAGCTCCCCACAATTCCCCCTGTGTTGGCATCACGAGCTTCCCTGAATTGAGTCAATGTTACTTGTTAGAACACCAAGCTTGTGTATTTTAATAGAGTGGACTCAATATTTTACTATAAAACATTTAATAAACTTCCGTTCTTAATAGAAATTTGTGTTCTGCCTACATGTGCTATTATTTTTTAAGTAAAATATGCAATTCTCTTTAAAGTACTGTTTTTCAAACTTCCAAGGTATATTCTACTGAAGGCGCCTGATACTCTAGTATATGTATTGGGTTCTGTGGCTTTCTTATTTTGCTTCTGTTAAAGAGCTAGGTCTATCCACCTATTTAATTAGGCTATTTTCATATTTGTTCTCCTTGTGTGATGATTAATTTTATGTGTCAACTTGACTGGACTAAGGGATGCCCAGATTTCTAGGTGTGTTTTAAGGGTATTTACAGAAGAGATTCACATTTTAATCTATCAACTGATCACCAGTGCAGATGGACATCATCTAATCTGTTGTGGGATTGAATAGAACAAAAAGACAGAAGAAGGGCCAATCTGTTCTTTGTGCTTGAGCTGAGACATCTGTCTTCCTGCCCTCAGACATTGGTACTCCTGCTTCTTGGGCCTTTGGATTTGGACTGAGGTTTATTCCATTGGCTTCCCTTGTTCTTAGGCCTTCAAGTTGGGAGTGGAGCTACACCGTTACCTCTCCTGGGCCTCTCTAGTTTGTAGATGGCAGATCATGAGATTTCTTGGCCTCCACAATTATGTGAGCCAATGCTTCATAATAAATCTCTCTATATCTATCTATCTATCTATCTATCTATCATCTATCATCTATCATCTATCTATCTATCTATCATCTATCTATCATCTGTCTATCATCTATCATCTATCTATCATCTATCATCTATCATCTATCTATCATCTATCTATCTATCATCTATCATCTATCTATCATCTATC